AACCTGTGAGTTACCAAACTCATGGCTTTCTAATATATGTCTTGGCACCCAGTGCTCTTCCCAGTATATCAGATATGCCTTTCACTATTAAAGAGCTATTTCTTTCTAACTATTGAGGTCACCACTTTATTTATGTGGTAAGCTTAAYATATCTGACAGTTTTGAGAGATGTATAAATATTTTTTTTCACCTTTATCTGGTAATTTACACTTTATTTTATCCTCAATAATGCTTCTTTTGTAATAATAWTTTTTGTCATGTTTTGTTAAATGAATTTTGTAATAAACAAAAATTATTATTGCAAAAGAAGTATCAAAATTAAAGAGTGATTTAAAACTCCACGAATAGACATGAGACATTATTAGAGGTCAGTATAGTATTCATAACTTCTGAGAATTTTAGATAACTTTAGTTGTATATCATGAACTAGAAAACCTTAAAAATAACATGCCTTTTAATTTCTTGACATGAACAATGTCCAGATGTGCTTCCAGAGAAAGTATGCACAAAATTTTTCAGTTAGGAAGAAGAAATATTGGTTGTGAAAGCTGATTTTATGATCTCTAACATTAAAGGTTTCTAAAGGTATTTAAATGGTCATAATAATTGCTTTGAGTCTATCACAATTAAATACTCTGATTTGGTTGTCTTAAAWTTTTTTTTCTGTTTTGAATAATGAATTGACATGGTCATTTATTTATTGTATTTAGATTTTAAAATCTTCCTTTAATAGTCTCTTCCTCAGCAGAGTGGAGAGATTACATCACTTATCAAAATCGGCCAATGATCTAAAATTACTCCGTGTTGGCCTGGCATGGGGGCAGGGGCACTGTCCTTTGTCCTTAGCTCCCATCCTCCCTCACACCGGTGACCACTCTGTCTCCTCTGTCTACTCCCCAAACCCTCAACTCCTGTTGCTATCATCACCTTCTCATTGCTTGATCTTTCTCCTCTCTCTTCTCAAWACCAGCTTTTCTTTTAAAAAGTTAAAAACAGAATTCACAAGAAGACACCCAATGGGTAACAGCTCAGTTATGATTCTTAGAACTCCTGTCTACCCCATGGCTATCATTCCTCTCTAAAATCCACTCAATCTTAAATTAGTTTTTGAAAAAGGTACTGGGGGTGTGAGGACAATTCCACTCCAATACTGTGGTAAAACAGTGACAATAGAACAGGAAAAAAAAGATTATAAATTTTTTAGAGAAAATAAGAAGGCCTGTCAAAGGCACCAGATTCACACCACACAAATRGATATTTGACAATATTTAGCTGTAAGCTTTCATTTTATTTCTAATTCCCATTTTTGTTCCTCAAGTGATAGTATGTTATCTGTCACTACATCGGCCAGTATCTAGTGGACAGGAAATTACTATTTTGAGATCACTACTTTTTCAAGGATAATGTGTATTCACCCAATCATTTATTAAATCAGTAAACACTTGTGGGCCACCTACTGTATACCAKCCAGGATGAGAGAATGTGGCAGTCTCTGCAACAAGTTTCTTCTCACAGTACAGAGGCAAGACTAGGTTAGTAGCTCAGAAGTAGAGCACACACCCAGCCTACTCAAGGCCAGGGGTTCAATCTCCAGAACTGCAAAATGATTTTTAAGAATGTACAAATGCATTKCTTTTTCTTCTTTGTCTACATTCACTTAAAAATAACCAAGATATAATCATCTGCCTTTCAATAAAAAGGGTATTACTTTCTAAGGTGAGTATTGATTTTTTTCTACATAATTGGTAAGAAGAAAGTTTTACTCAKTATAAATTTTATTCTTTGAAGCATACACAAGCCCCCGCCCCTGCTTCTTGGCTGCCACGTGAACAGCTTTGCTCTATCCCATGCTCCTTTCCATAGTGCCAGTCTTCAAAATAAGTCATTGGTTATCTACTTTAAAAAAAGCACACAAACTCATGGATGACTAGTTATTTGAGTGAAATACATAAGTTTATGTTACTTCTTACCTGAATATTTCTTCTTTCCTTACTGCTTCTGAATAGTGATTTTGTAATAGTGGATGCAAGGACACAAGAGTTACTGCCTTTAATTCTAGAAAGGTAAAAAAMWAATTGTACAACTAGATAAATGTACTTAAAGCCAACTTCAGAATTAAGAATTATACACAAAAGTTAAGCACAAGATATTAAAAGCTGGATTAGACATTTTATTCTCAGTTTTAGGTTCTGCCATAGATTAATATCTCATTCTCTAACTGAGTGGTTCTTTTTCATTTTCTTAGTAGTGCCTGAAAATCCCCTTTAAATGTGCACCCCTTCCTACGGACAAGAGATGAAAGRGTTGATCTCTTAAGTCCTCTTCCAGGCCTTTGAACATTTCTTATTAAGACTAAAAAGAAAATGCAACTGAACCTTTAAATCACACTCTGTGAGCATGGCTCTTCTGTATTAGGGTATATTTTATAGGCCTGAAAATGAAACCAATGAAAGTAAAACAGAAAAATAAAATCACCAATGAATAGAGCGATTCCCTAATGACCTGCAGGAATAGAGCAGGAGAAATCAATGCTATCTTTAGTTAGCATTACTGCAACAATTTCAGGTAATTACAGCAAAGACTGAGTAGAAAGTTGTCCCTCTGGGTGAGGAGAGGAACAAGTCAACCATGAGTGATTAGAACAGAAAGCTCCAGGTCCATCCCATGTGGGCCAACAGGGACAGATAATAAAAAAGGAGGATATCTACCCTTATTATTCACCTAAATTAACACGGGGTCTTTTGGGATTTGACTCATGGATAGAAAAATTTGCTTTAGAAAATATATTTTATGAAGTTTTCATTCTTCAGTTTACACCTTCAACAGTCACAATAAATTTATTTTTTGCTTCTTTTACATGGGTCAGCTTATAGTTCATTTCTCCTGATTTTTCATAGGATCCTAACTTTTGCTGGATTTCTATTTTGCATATTATAGCATAAATTATATTATAGACTATGTTATTAATATAGCCAAAATTTAAATTAATGTCAATGTTTTACAAATAAATATTTGAATGTAAGACCTTGTTGCCACTGATGAACTTAATACTGTGAGTCTAGCTACACTTCAAGTATGAGGATCCAGATATCAGAATGTCCTTTTTCCCTAAAATATAAGAAATAATCAAAAGAGTGATAAATTGGAGGAAATAAATATGTAGAACTGTAGCAAATCTTACTCTACAATRCACTGTTATTGAAATATACGGTTATTGAAATCCATACTGATTTCCATAGTTGTACTAACTTATAGTCCTACCAACAATGAATAAATGTACCTGTTCCCCCACATTCTTGGCAGCAATTGTTGTTAATTGTATTCTTGATGACTGGCATTCTAACTGGAGTAAGACTGAATCTCAATGTATTTTTTATTTGCCTTTACCAGATTGCTAAGGATGTTGAACTCTTTTTCATATATTTGTTGGCCATTTGCCTTTCTTCTTTAGGTAAATGTTTGTTTAGTTCATTGGCCAATTTACTCATTGTATTATTTGAGTTTTGGTCTTAAGTTCTCTGAGTCCTTTAAATTATTCAGATATTAATTCCCTGTCAGAAGGATTGGCAAGGATTTTCTCCCATGCTATACACTCTATGTTCACACTATTAATTTCTTCCTTTGCTATGTGAAAGTTTTTTAATATGATACCATTCCACTTACTGATTCTTTTTTTTTTTTTTTTGTTAAAATTTAGGAGTCAGAGGATCCATCATGGCGGCAGGAAAGGAGTGAGCTGCCCAGTGCCCACACAGCCAGACCCAGAGATCTTGCCTAGTCGGAATACTGCATCTCCGAGAGTGTTGGAGGACCCCTATCCAGCTGCTCTCTGCAAAAATCACCAGTGCTGTAGGACACCCGGCRTTGGAGCAGGACCCAAAGCCCGGAAGTTCCTGTCCACGCGAGACTTTGTGAGCGACTTAGCAGAATCACCTATCAATACATCTGCAGATCGCCAGAACTTTGCTCCGCTCCCACGCAGGTCACTCAGCTGCTACCTACCCATAGCACAACGCCATCGCCTGGCTCCCCCCACCTCACCAGGCTCCCTTCACCTCACCAGACACCCTGGTGCTGAAAGCAGACCGCAGCCATCTTGACTCAGTATTCTCGCCAATTAGTTGGGGGCAGTTCTCAGATTGGATCTCCGGCAGCCAGATACCA